TATGTGCACCCCATAAGGGTCTGGTACCGTCAGAGACCAGAAGAGGGCATCAGAGACCTTGGAACCAAAGTTGCAGTCTGTGAGCCGCCATGTGAGTACTGGGAACCAGAGCAAAAGCAGTGAGCACTCTAACCCACAGAGCCATAGCTCCAGCCCATACTTTAAAAACTATGCTTGAAATAGCTTAGAGGCAAAATGGTCATCTTAATTGTGGGTTGGTTTTTTTGTGTGTGTGTTTTGAGAGTGCTGGGAATTGAGCTTAGGGCTCACACATGCTAGGCAAACACTCTCCCACTGAGCTACATTTCAGCCCAAAATGGTTTTGTTTTGTTTTGTTTTAATAACAAAAAGCAAGTAAAGTGCTGAGCGAAGCCCTGCTTCCTAGCCCCTGCTGAGTAGATGTTAGTTATGGCGAGGTTCAAAAATGACTGACGGGCAGAAAAACTGGTTCCACCCTTAAGTTTAAAGACACCACACAGCGGCCCACTTGATTCATCTGTGGCCTCGGCTTATTTTGTTATGCAGATTTGACTTGTTTGTTTTTAGAGATTTATTTTTAATTATGTGTATGTATGTATGTGTGGGTAGGGATGTAGGTATGAGTTCAGGTACCTACAGAGGCCAGAAAAGGGTACCAACCTAAATCAGCTGTGGTGGTGCACGCCTTTAATCCCAGCACTCAGGAGGCAGAGGCAAACAGGTCTCTGTGAGTTCGAGGCCAGCCTGGTCTATAGAGTAAGTTCCAAGACAGCCAGGGCTACACAGAGAAAGCCTGTCTTTGGGGAAAAAAAGAAAATATTGTCCCTTGGAGCTAGAATTAGGTTATTTTGAATTGCCTGATGTGAATGCTGTGTGTTGAACTCCAATCCTCTTAAGCACTGATCCATCCTCTCCAGCCTTGTTTTGGGGGATTTGTTTTGATTTGTTGTTGGATTTTTGTTGTTGTTGTTGTTTGGATTTTTGGGTTTGGAATTTATTTGTTTTGTTCTATTTTGAGATGGATCTCACTATGTAACCCTGGCTGCCCAAGAACTCTCTATAAAGAACATGCTGGCCTTGAACTCACAGAGGTCTGCTTGCTTCTGCCTCCTGTGTGGTAAGATTAAAGGTGTTTCACCATCAGGCCTGCCTCACTTGCTTTTTTCATAATTCTTTGTTTTTGTTTTAAGACAGGGTCTCTCTGAGTAGCCCTGACTGTCCTGGAGCTCACTCTGTAGAACCAGGCTGGCCTCAAACGCAGAGATTTGCCTGCCTCTGCCTCCCGGGTGCTGGGGTTAAAGGCATGTGCCCACGCTGCCTAGTGAAATAACACTTTTTTGAGATTATAATACAATTATGACATTTCTCCTTTCCCTTTCCTCTGTCCAAACCCTCCCATACAGCAATCCCACTCTCCTTCAAATCCATAGCCTCTTTTTTCACTAACTGTTAGTGTGTGCATGTGTGTATGTACCAGGCTTTTTCTTTTAGGGCCACCAATCAGCTCCCAAATCATGACACAGAGACTTACTATTGGTTTTGAATGCTCAGCCTAGCTTAGCTCGTTTCTGGCTAGCTCTTTTAACTTAAATTAACCTGTTTCTCTTTATCTACCTTGTGCCTCGGGCTTATCACCTTTCTTCCTTCTGTGTACCTTACTTTCACTGCTTCTCTGTGCCTAGGTGTCTGCCTGGCTTCTGGCCCCGGGTGTGTCCCTCCTTCTTCCCTTCCTCCTCTTCTCATTCTTCTCTTCTTCCTGTCTTTCCCTGAGCCTAGATTTCTCCTCCAATTTATTCTCTCTCCCTGCCACTGCCACCCCCCCCCCCATCAGTTCCCTGCCCAGCTATTGCCTGTTCCACTCTTTATTAGACCAATCAGGTGCCTTAGGCAGGCAAGGCGAACCAAAAGCAACACATCTTTTCACAATTAAACAAATGGAGCATAAACAAAAGTAGCACACCTTTACACAGTTAAAGGAAAATTCTGCAACATAAACAAATGTAACACATCTTCGCCTAGTTAAAATACTAGTCTATGATATATGCGTATACATATTTAATCCTAGATGTAACCTGTTCAGTCCATACATTGTTATCTGTATATATGTTTTCAGGGCTGACCATTGGGTACTGGACAACCGGTTGTTGTGATCTTCCCTGGGAAAGAGTACCTCTCCCACTCCCAGCTTTCCTCGGTTGCCTAAAGTTCTTGATGTAGGATTAAGGCCCTGTGGGTTTTCCCTGGCCAGATTGGCATGTCCATTGGTGCCATTCTTATTCAGTTCACATCTGGGGCATTGATGTTGGTGAGACTTTCTGTGTGTAGCTTCTGACATTGCTAGGAAACACAATATCACAGCAAAGTTCCCGATCTTGCTCTTGCAATCTTTCTGTCCTACAAAAGGCTTCTGTGTTCTGTAGATGTATTCACTGGGACTAGGCTCCACAACTCTGAATTCTGATTGGTTGTGGTTTTCTGTAGTGGTCTCTACCTGTTGCAAAGAGACATTTCCTTGATAAGGAGTGAGGACTGCACTTATCTATGGGAATCAGGACAAATGTTTGTAGGTTGTCGTGAGGGATTATGTTGATTTAGTAAATTAGAGGTTGTAAATTCTCCCCTGATAACCATGACTTTACTAGGACTGAGTAGTCAGCTAGGTTTCTAACACAGTAATAACTTTCCTCCTCTTGAACAGGCCTTAAGTCCAATTTGAGAACGGTTGGTTACTGACAAGGCTGTGGTGCCATGACATCATCAGTCTGGTTTATGAGCATCATAGCTAGATAGGATTGTTGTTGGACTCCCTCCTTTGGAAGTTTCATTGTGTCGTCATGATTTTTTAAAGAAATAATAATTTTTATTTATTCTTTGAAAACTGTATAAATGGGAAATTGTATAAAAGTGTATAAATAGGATCACTTACTGCTCTTGCAGAAGACCTGAGTCCAGTTCCCAGCACCCACATCTGGCAGCTCACAACTGTCTATAACTCCAGGTCCAGGGGATCCAGTGCCCTATTCTGCCCTCAACAAGGACAATATACACATAAATGCAAACAGGCACACTCACAAATAAATAAAAAATAATTTTTTTGTTTGTTTTCTCGAGACAGGGTTTCTTTGTATAGCTTTGGAGCCTGTCCTGGAACTCGCTCTGTAGACCAGGCTGGCCTCAAACTCACAGAGATCCACCTGCCTCTGCTTCCTGAGTGCTGGGATTAAAGGCATGCACCATCACAGTCCACAATAAAAAATAACTTAAAAAAAAGAAAAGAAAATTGTATAAATGTATGTACAGTGTATTTTGAATGATTTTCTTCAGAAATTTTAAAGTCAAACTGGAAAACATTTGGGTTGGAGAACTAAAAAATAAATACTCAGCCTCTTTTAGCCCACCCTCTTCCATTTGTCCTAATTAAGAAATGTAAAGTTGGGGCCAGTGAGATGACTCCGCGGTCAAAGGCGCTTGTTGTAGAGTCTGGCTCCATGAGTTCAATCCCCAGGACCCCACATGGAAGGAGCGAACTCACACATACACACACTAAATAAATGTCATTTTTTTAAATGTTTCTAAAACTGTGAAGTTGGCCAGGGTTGTGGCTTAGCAGCAGAGCAGATACTGGAGAAGGAAGGTGGAGACAGGAGAGGAGAGAAGAAGGGAAACGCAGAGCTGGATTTTTCTAGAGTTTTTAGGGGAGCTAGACACAGTGGTTCAAGCTTGTAAACATTCAGGATGTGGAGACAGAAGGATCACATGATCCGGGACAGCTTACATACATACATACATAAATAGTAAATGCTGAGGCTGATGTCCTTTTTTTGTTTTATCGTTGAGAAGGCACTTCTTGCCTCAGTGTTCTGCCGCTCCTTTCTGTGAAGCCAGTACAAACTCCAGGCAGGAAGATGAATTAGGACCTTGGCATCTCAATAAATCTGTACCTAAGGAAGCTACTAAAAGCCAAGAATGTCACCGTCCTGCAGTTAAAGGTTAATGTCAGCCCCGAGGCCTTCTTTTTTGCTAAAGTGTCTATGATTCTTAGACACGCACATACACACACACACACACTCACTCACTCACTCACTCACTCACACTCACACCATACTTTGAAAAAACCCAAGATCTGGTGATTATTGCCAAATACACCTTGCATAGCCCTTCTTCCTGTGAGCGTCCCAAAAGGTATGTTCCCCCAGAGCAGCTGTAAAATGAAACAGGCTGGGTTGATGGCTCAGTGGGTAAAACGCTTTCTGTGTACACACGAGGACCAGAGTTTGGATCCCCAGCACCCACATAAAAGTTAGACCAAGTGACACTGGTCTACAAGTGCAGCACTGGGGGTGTGGAAACAGTCAGAGGCCCCAGAGTTCACCAGCCAGCCAGCCGGTGCAGCCTATAGGTGAGCTCCAGGTTCCGTGAGAGACTCTGCCTCAAAAACCAGGCGGAGAACAAACAATAGAGGAAGACACCCAATTCCAACTCTGCCCTACAAACACACGCTCCCACATGTGTGTGCATGCGCCCACACACATGCACACAAGCACGAATACACACACAAAAATAACAACAACAAAAAAAAAAACCACAAGTGGCTGTGTGTTTATTGTCCCTTTTAAAACAACTGCATGCATTGTACAGTCTATTACTCATTGAAGCTTGACCTTCTTGGTTGCTATTCATTTGACTTTTGATTATCTCAGTGTGGATTACCCAATTTAGAGCTTATATCCACTGCAAATTCCTAATTCCCCAGAGTCCTTTTCCTGCCGATCAGTACAGATTTAGGCTACTTCCCCTTACCGCAAGTTAATGTATGGTTAGTCATTTTAAGCAATATTAGCATTAGATATAATTAGGAAGAAAATTAGCTTTTTCCCCTAATCATAGAGAAATTGTTGTATTTTGTGCTACGTTTAAACAATTACCCTTCTGTACTCCATCATTAATGTGAATAATCTAAAGTAGCTTAAATGGAAATTCTATCAGGTTTAAACAAAGCATTTTACTGTCGTCCCTTTTAGGAGTGGAAAACATCTTAAGAGGGGCTCAGGAGCTGGATAACATCATCAAGCAAGGATACTTGGAGAAGAAAAGCAAAGGTATTAATCAGACCCATGAAGAGTGGACCGTTCCGGGAGAGGGAGGGAGAGAGGGAAGGAGGGAAGGAGGTGTTGCTAGACTATAGGGCGGATGTCTTCTTGGGTCTATGCTAGGCCCATATAAGGCACAAAGGCAGGAAATGAAGGAAGTGTGGTGTTAGTGTGTGCCAACTAAAGAGAGAGGGCCCAAATCTTCAGCCAGCTGTGGGCTTCATTGGGATTGGTTCTAGCCCAGATGTGGCAACTTTAATCCTAGCACTTGGGAGGCAGAGATGGGCAGATCTTTGTGAGTTGGATGGATGATATTTTTGTCCTCAACTCTGTGTGCTCCCATCAAGAGTGACACTGTAGCTAGGGAATGTGGGTGGCGCACATCTTTAATCCCATTACTTGGGAGGCAGAGGCAGGTGGATCTCCGGGTTCAAGGCCAGCCTGGTCTACAGAGTAAGCTCTAAGACAGCCAGGGCTACATAGAGAAATCCTGTCTCAAAGAAGAAGAAGAAGGAGGAGGAGGAGGAGGAGGAGGAGGAGGAGGAGGAGGAGGAGGAGGAGAAGAAGAAGAAGAAGAAGAAGAAGAAGAAGAAGAAGAAGAAGAAGAAGAAGAAGAAGGAGAAGAAGAATAGCAACACTGTTTTGTCAAGAATATAGTCTTTCCAAGTGTGAAGGAGCCTGCTTCCAAATTTCAGACATGCCCAACTCTTGATCCTTTAAATTGTTCCATTAAAATAGGTACTACAAGGGCCAGAGTCCTGGTTCTAATGCTCAACAGGCAAACTGGTTTACCACACGTTCTCAAAACGAAGGCGAGCCGGGCGGTGATGGCGCACGCCTTTAATCCCAGCACTCGGGAGGCAGAGCCAGGCGGATCTCTGTGAGTTTGAGGCCAGCCTGGTCTCCAAAGCGAGTTCCAGGAAAGGCGCAAAGCTACACAGAGAAACCCTGTCTCGAAAAACCAAAAAAAAAAAAAAAAAAAACGAAGGCGAAAAAGCAAGCCCTTCTCCTGGCCATGGCCTGGAGGACCCGGAGTATCGCTTTGGTTCACAGAAAGCAGCACATAAGGAAATGATGGTTAATTGGGTATAATGATGCATGCCTATAATCCCAGCACGAGAGAGGCTGAGACAGGAGGATAGCCAGGAGTTTCAGGCCAACCTGGATTACCCAGTGAGGCTCTGTCTCCAAAAAACAGACAAAGATATCATAGAAAGTCTGAAAAACTCAGGATGAGATTTGATCCTAAAGGATGGAAAATAAGCCAGATAAAAAGACAGCCGTGGGAGCATGGAGGAGCAACCTCACTAAGAACCTGGGCCTGTGATGGAGTTCCTCCTCGCCACTCAGTCAATACGAGCTAACCTGTGGGAGTGAAAAGGAGGGTTTTACAGTCCATTAACCTGGGAGATAAAACAATAACCCACTCGACTGTGTTGTTGGATTTTACAGACTCGTAGGCTATTCTAGTTACCTGGATTTATGTCTCTTCTCTCTCTTCCACGTAGATCATAGCTTCTTTGGGTCAGAATGGCAGAAGCGATGGTGTGTGGTCAGCAGAGGCCTCTTTCTCTACTACGCTAATGAGAAAAGTAAGTGTTCTCCGTTTACAGAGCAGCACCCTCACTCCTGGGTGCAAGCACTTCGTAAATGCTCAAGCACTTAGATGCCTAGATAGCAGTCCTTAACTAACACCCATAGAGCGAGATGCTTAAGAAAGATGCTTAGACTTGGGGAACTCGTGCCTTTCCCACCACCAAAAACACAGACCAGCCGGGCGGTGGTGGCGCACGCCTTTAGTCCCAGCACTCCGGAGGCAGAGGCAGGTGGATCTCTGTGAGTTCGAGGCCAGCCTGGTCTCCAAAGTGAGTTCCAGGAAAGGCTCAAAACTACACAGAGAAACCCTGTCTCGAAAAAAAAAAAAAAAAAACACCCTCAGACCAGTTTAGCACTTTTTCCGTCTTTGAACAAAGTGTGGTCAATATATGGAAGGGTTATGGTCTATTGTGACTTATTACACAGTATTATCAGAGTTGAATGGTTAAGCATTCCTTAAATAAATAAATAGGCTGGGGGAATGGCTCTGTGGGTAAAATACTTGCTGCATAAGCCTGAGGACTTGAGTTCAAATCCCCAGAGCCCCTCTAAAGCTAAAGGTGATACTATAGGTCTGTAACCCCAGTGCTCTGACAGTGAGATGGGAGGCAGAGTTATAATGAGATGAAAGTCGGAAATTACAGGGGGTGTGAAGCAAAATCAGGAGAATCCCCCAGGACTCTTAGACCCGCTAGCCTGATGTACACAGCAGCACACAAGAAGCCCTGTCTCCAGCAGGTGCAAGAGAAGAACCATTACCAAAGGCTGTGCCCTAACCTGTGTGGGCACCATGGCGTGCACTCACAGGCAGGACCACGCACATACATACACGTGCAAGTGAGAACACACACACACACACACACATACACACAAAGATGTTCACACAAACGACAACAGCAAGAAAAACAAACAAACAAACAAACAAACAAACACTCCTGCAATCCCAACACCTAGAAGGCTGAGGCAAGAGGATCACATGTTCAAGACTAGACTGAGCTATGGAGCAAGACTCTGTGTTCCAAGCCAAGAACTGGGGATATAGCTCAGTGGCAGAGCACTTGCCTGGTGTACGCAAGGTCCTGAATTCAATTCCTCGCACCACACATGAAATAATTAGCAATAATATACTAATAATAATTCTGAGAAAAATTTAAGCAGTGTTTAACAATAGCCCAGAAATAGAATCTTGGGGTTCAAACTCTCTAAGAGCATAGTCATAGCTATTGGGAAACAGTATTCCAGGGGACATTCCTGGAGCCACAGAGTGTTGAAGCCTAAATAGTTGTTGTTCCCAAGAGCTGCTCTTCAGTCAGATGACCCGCAGTAACAGTGGCGTGTTGACTCAGAGGCAGTTTCTCAATGAGCCACCACACGCTATCCCTAGAAGGCCACTCATCCACGTTGAACACAGTGGCTTAGTCCCTGAGAAGGAAGAGAGGGTTTAAGTGTAATTGGTGGGAACTACAAATAAACACAAGTTAAAAGTTATTGTAGGCCAGGCGGCGGTGGCGCACGCCTGGAATCCCAGCACTTGGGAGGCAGAGGCAGGTGGCTCTCTGTGAGTTAGGACCAGCCTGATCTACAGAGCGAATTCCTGAGCTGTTACACACAGAAACCCTGCCTTGAAAAACAAAACAAAACAACAAAACCAAAAAAATGAATGTGGACTCCCAGGGAAGAAATAAGTTTCGCAGATTGGAATCGAGAGGGAGAGGAGCTGGATAAAGTCTCAAAGGGACTTCCTCGGGCTCGCCCACCTTCATGCAGAGAGCAGTGGTAACTCCACAAAGCAGGCCTTAGATTTGCCTCCGATCATGTACTGTTTGCCCTTCCTTCCTTCTAAACCGTGTCCTCCTGATGTCTAGACACCCAGCCGGAGAACGGTCTCCCGGCCTCTTGGGTACAACCATGGCAGATTGAACTACAGTTTTGCGAGTGACCTGGAATCCTCAGGATTTGCGGGCTTTCTGGCATTTGCCTCAGTCTATCCCTCCTCGTGCAGCAGCATCGCTGATTTTACCTTTGGACTATCGCGGATGCTCAGAATCTTTCCCATTCAGGGCTACTTGCTGCTGGCAGCAGCATGCTAGAACACTGAGCCACAGAAGCTCTGTGGCCTTCCAACCCCCAGCTCACTTGCAAGTCCAGCAAGGGTGGCTTCTCCCCTGAACTCTAGGCCTCAGGCTTGGAGATACAGCTCAGTTGGTAGATGCTTGCCTAGCATGCATGAAGCCCTGGGTTCGATCCTCAGCACTGCATAAAACCAGTGTGATGGTGCGTGCCTGTGATCTCATCACTCAGAAGGTGGAATCTGGAGGATCAGGAGTTCAAGACAATCCTCAGCTATGTAGGGAGTTAATCAGCCTGGGCTTATGAGACCTGTCTCAAAAACTTGGCTAATTAATTAATTAGTTAATTCTAGACCTACAAGGCAGACAGTCACTCTATTCTTCAAACTAGTATGATATCTCTTTTTGTTTTGTTTTGGTTTTGGTTGTTTGTTTGTTTGTTTGTTTGTTTTTCGAGACAGGGTTTCTCTGTGTAGCTTTGGCACCTATCCTGGATCTCACTCTGTAGCCCAGGCTGGCCTCGAACTCACAGAGATCCTCCTGGCTCTGCCTCCCAAGTGCTGGGATTAAAGGCGTGCGCCACCACCGCCCAGCTAGTATGATATCTGGACCACTGTAAAACTGTTCATCATTTCCCATGCATTTAAATAAGTGGTTGGGGATCTGAAGAAAGGGCCCCATGGTTAAGAGCACTTATTGCTGTTGCAAAGGACCCAAGTTCAGTTCCCAGTACCCGTTTGTTGCCCATAGCCATCTGTAACTCTAGTTCCAAGAAATCTGGTAACCTCTTCTGGCCTCTGAAGACACCAAATATGCACATGGTACACATGTGTGCATGCAAGCAAAACACCCATGCACACAGAATAAAAATGCGTGTCTTTAAAAAATGGTGATAAGTGTTGGCATGTCTGAGTATAACACCAAGTCTGTTCATTCAGAACTCAGGTCTTATGGTGAGAGGGGAGGGGGGGAACAAGAGAGCAAGAGGCTTGGAGACTTTTATGGACCATTTTGCCGTCAGGGTGAAATAAAACCTGGCGACCAAAGAAACAACAAAACATTTTAGTGGCCGGTTAGAACAAGGAGGGATACTTTAACAAAAAAGATCTGGTGTCAGAGAGCACTGTTGCATGGCTCCCCTCTCGCCAGTTACTCCTTATTGTGCCCAGGACACTTTCTCTGTGGGTATAGTGTTTGTGTGTTTCCTTTAGCTCAATCAGGTAAAAATAGAACCTCTCCCTCTCCCTCCCCCTCCTTCCCTTCCTCTGTCTCTCTCTCTCCCTCCCTCCCCATTTGCCCTTCACTTACCACCATTATCATCCAAAGACGTCCCAGACCACAGGTCAAGTCTTCAGCACTGGATGCGGTGAGGGACAGATTCATTTCCAGTTCACTCCACCTGACAGAGGACACCGTCATCACCCAGACACTGCAGTTACTGTGCCCTCGACACAGTTCTGTGATCAGCTGATCACGCCACCCTCCTGGGTGTTTTCCATTCTTCCCGAGGGTGAAGCCCCAAGTCCCTTTAGAGAGGATGGGGACCATGGATTCCTTCCGCTCTGTCTGAACCACAGAACACAGGCACAACCTCTCTTGGGGAAATAGGGAAGAGTCCAATACTGTATCTTTTTTAGAATAGAGGTGACCGGCTGAGTGGCATCTCTTTTCCTTCCTTTGGGGTCCCTTTCTCCCTGTCACCTTCCTCATCCTCTCATGATACACTACTTGGCTACTTCCAGTTTACCTCTTGGAAGAAGATCCAATGCTGAGTTTGAATTATTCTTCCTCTAGCATAAATCCCCACCTGGCCCGAAGGGGAGGGACAAGCATTTGAGGTAGGGTATGGAAGGAAATTCAGGGACTTGAGACTAGCCCCCTCTGCTGCTGTACCCCTCCTTGAACGTGAACTCTGCTGGCCCTGGTAATAATGTCTGGGCCCTGTAATAGCCTTCAAGAGCCCCACATTTACAGCCACTCTCCCTGCTGTAATAACTCCTGCTTTCTGTTATTATAGATCTCTTAACATTCCAATAAATTCCCTGTCTCTCTTGTACGGTTTTGGTAAAATAACCTTTCGTGTTGGATTTCCCTTGCTTGATGCTGATCTCTGTCTGACGATGGCCAAACCTCCTCCCAAGCGTCCCTGATAACCTTTCTTAGACAAGTGTAGTTCCTCGGGGATGTAACAGCTGTTTGGTGCTTTTTATTTTCCATACCAGAAAAGATGCCTTCCCTTAGCTGGTGTGTCTCTCTAGAGATACAGAGAGCTTTGCTGTTTTGCAGGTAAGCAGCCCAAAGGGACCTTCCTCATTAAGGGCTACAGTGTCCGGATGGCTCCCCACCTGCGAAAAGACTCCAAGAAAGAATCCTGCTTTGAACTGACCTCCCAGGATAGACGCAGCTATGAGGTAGGATGGCCTGGTGATCCTTATTAGACTTGCGTTTTCCTTGCTGTTGCATGTGAACCGTGGTCGCTGGTCACTGTGTCGGATTCCACCTTCTGTGCTACCTGCTCCTTTCTCCCCAGCTAAGAGCTGCTCTCCTGCTCCATCCTTTGCAGTTTCGTGCCCCTCCCGCCCATCTATGGCTACACTCACCCTGGATACCACCTCTACTCGACTTTTATCTCTTTACCCCTCCCCTACCTTCCCAGTATCATCCCACAGGTGAGACTCTTGTCTATTGGAACCCACGGTCCAGTTCCTTACTCACAGGCTGACTTCGCCACTGCTGTTCCTATTCTCTCTGTTTTTCCAACTGGTCAACCTTGTGTCCATCCATGAAACCCAAAATAAGCAACATCTAACTACAGAGTGAAAAATAATTTTTCCCGTGTTTGCCTTTCTGTCCAAAACCTGCCCCCTGGGAGTGGATAGGCTGTGTCTCTAGAAGGATTTCCAAGCCCTTGATGGCAATGGTTTCTGAGGAGAAATAGTGAAGTCTAGGGGCCTACAAAGCCTTGTCAACGAGAGACTTATTCCTCATTATGGCAATTTTTATATATTTTTGAATATTCACTACTCCCTTTTTAAAACAAAGCTATGTCTTAGTGAATATATTGATATTCATCAAGTATGTATTTTCCGTGTATGTGTCTATTTGTCTGTTCATCTTTGCTAAAGCTATGTAACTGAACTTTAGCTACCTTAGGAAAGAGAAAAAACATACAAAAATTAAATTAACAATTTAAAGAACCTTTTGACTTTTCAAATTTTCCTCCTCACTCAACTTTTTGCCCTTGATAGTGTCTCGATCATTTATTGGATAAAATGATCTGTGTCTCCACTACACAATGTCCAAATGTTTTAAAGTTTAACTAAAACTTCTCTATAGGGTCCTTTATAAACATTATGTAACAGATATATGCACTCTATCTAAATTATTTTTATTATTAAATTATTATATTATTACTTCATCCAGATCAAAGTTTATGTGAGAAGCTCAAACCAATATTCCTAGAAACACATCCTAAAACTGTGTGTTTTTCAGAAACTATGATATGCTGGAGAGATGATTCAGATGACTCATGATTGTAACACAACCATGAAAATCCGAGTTTAAATCCAGAACCCATGTAACAAGCCAGATATGGTCTAAGCACTCTTTTAAGCCCAGCACCATGGTGAATAGAGACCCAAGGGTTGCTGGTGCTTGCAGAGTGCCAGCCTAGCCAAAAAACATGAGCTTAAGGTTCAAGGAGAGACTCTGCCTCAAAGGAATAAATGTTGAAAGTGATAGAGGAAAACATCAATGCCCTCTGGCCTCTGCATGTCTACAAAGAGTATGTGTACTTGCTTGTACACACACACACACACACACACACACACACACACACACACACATACACACACCACAGAATGATAATGATAAAGCATGAACCTGTATTTCTTATGCAGCATGTATTTTTTTTTTTCGAGACAGGGTTTCACTGTGTAGCTTTGCGCCTTTCCTGGAACTCACTTGGTAGCCCAGGCTGGCTACCAAGTGATCCACCGTCCTCTGCCTCCCAAGTGCTGGGATTAAAGGCGTGCGCCACCACCGCCCGGCGCAGCATGTATTTTTATCCAACCCTAATGGCCATAGAATTAAAATATCCTTTCATTTCAAGTTTTTTCATTTTAAAATTACAAAGGGTTGGTGCTTGGCTGCTCTGTTTTGTGAATCAGAATGTGCCTGTCTTTGGCTCATTGAATCTAAACCATCATTCTGAGCCATGGATTCTTCCTTTGGTCCTTTCTTCCTCTATTTATTCCCACAGCCACCACAGTTGCTAAGCCCCTATCACTTCACCCAGAGGGCTACTTAAACGGCTTTCTAATTGGTCTTCAGTCTCTAAATATCCCTATTCCAATCCTCCCTAACCACGGCTACTAAAAGAATTACCCACACTCTTTGCTCGAACTGACGGTGGCTTCCTGTTGCCTACATTTTAAGTCTGGGCAGGGCCCTCCTGCCTGACCCACTGCTCTCCACCTGGACCTGTTCCCCAGTCCACCTGACCTGCTTGTAGCCCCGCACGCATCTGATGCTGTGGCTGCTCCAGTGGTTCCCATGGCTGAAGTGTTCAGCTCCTTCCATGGCTTTCCACCAACTCTCTAAAAACCCAACCAAAACAGCATTACTTCAGCAGCCCCAACCCCAAGCCTGCTCTACACAACAATAAGGGCTCCCTGCCTCTCCTCAACATCCTGCTGTGGAGTGAGCATCTAGCACAGCGGTGGAGTACTTAACTTAGCATGTGCAAGGCCCTAACACTGAAAAACCCATCCCCTTGCTATCAAAGGCCCCTCCCTTGTAGTATTCCCATCTCATGTCCATGTTGATTTGTTGTTGTTGTTTTTCCTACAAATTTTTTCCTGTAAACCCCTGATAAAGAAGGAATCAAATGAGCAGGTACACATGAACATATATGTCCAGACTTAAAGCTATCCTCTCTGGTGTGTAAAATTGCTATAGGCACAAAGAAGCTGTGTGAGATGTTTTGGGTTTTTTTCTTTTTCTGAGTGGTAAGGAGATGGAGAACCCCTAAACTCCATACTTGGTTCTGAAACTCCTTTGAGTCTGTCTAGCAGGACTCCTGGCAGTTTGAGTGAAGGTAGCGGCTAAATTAATCCCCTCATTTTCCTCCAGTTTACAGCTCTGAGTCCAGCTGACGCCAGAGACTGGGTGGACCAAATAAGTTTCTTGTTAAAAGGTAAGAGCCATCATTTCAAATATATTTGCTATGTGAGTGCATTTGCAGTTGAAGTTATATTTTAGAAGTTTAATCTAAAGGTTTCCGTATGTGTTTTCTCCTGATCCACTATTCTCCCCTACCCCATATTGCCTTATTTAATCCTATTTATTTATTTAGCCCTGATTTATAACAACAAATAGTATCATATATAAATGAGAAGGCCAGGCAATCATCCACCTGGAGATCACCTCTGATGTCATAACCCATCCACTGACACCATGTAGACATACTAATCATCGTTTGGAAAAGATTCTAAAAGCCAGTTTAGCTCAAGTCACTGTCCCCCAACCCCTTCTATTCTGGAAGGGTAATTCATAGTAGCCATCATCTAGTTGAGATCCAAAACCTTCCTCTTCCTCCTCCTCCTCCTCCTTTTATTTTTTTTTTTTTTTTTTGTTCTCGTTTAGAAGTAGAATTCTAAACTCATCTTGGTGGCCATCAGGGATGCTGGACATTAAAAATAAATTGTTATTTCCCAAGCCACAACAAAATATCCCTTGCCTTGGGATGGCCAGTCCAGCATGAAGAGATTAAATGGCTATTCTTAGAGTACCCTCTACCGGCCAGCCTGCAGGCCTGGTGCAGCAGCCGCAATGGCCCAGGAAGCCTTGCCTGGGAGTGGCCTAGCAGGTGGATTTGGCCTAAGAGGACCCTCATGGACCACCCTAGCAAGACATGCCCTCAGCAGAACATAAGAACACCAACTTTGAGCATGGCCCACGACACAGAGAGGAGCACATCCACCTCACATCACCAAGCTTTCTCATCACGGTTTATTATTCTGCCATAAGATTTTATTGTGGATAAAAAGAAGGAAGCACCGGAGCCTTAATTACAAGAATTGCCTCTTTTACTCACTTCTACCTCTGCTATTACAAAAACAAACTACTACGGCGTGCACCGACAGCATCTCGTATAATAGACTGGAACTAGGCAAACACGAGCGTTGATGGGGAGGCTACAGGGCACACTCTCATCTAGGTGCCTAGGATTTATGCGTGTAATATACCCCTAAGTGTGTAAACCTCCATAAAACTCAAAGCAGCTTTATTGAGCTGTACCCTGTGGTACTTTCAGAATCTCACATTGAAGAAATTATTCATTCCATTTTATTTTAAAACAAACAAAATAATAACATATGGTTGAAGCCGCAAATGTGCCTTTGATCCTTTCCTCATATGAAGTCGCCAGAATTCAGATGAAATGTGTTGGGAAATCTTTATTAAAAGCCTAATCAAGGCAAACAGTTTTATTGTGTTTTGAAATGAACTGTTCGAGTCTCTCCACCCTTCCCTTCCCCAGAGTACACTCAGTGTGCTCACCAGGTCCTGCAGAGGCCCCTTGGTGGGGATTTCCAGGAGCACCCCAAAGGCAGAGAATGCGCCTCCCACCCCCCTCACCACCACCACCAGAACTGAACCCAATCTTGCTCCCTGCCCCGGTACTCACCGGCACAGGAATGGCTGAACATCCTCTACTCAGTGACCCCCTGGAAGGTCAGCCAGGCCATAAAAGGACATGGCGACCTGGCTGTTTAGCCATTCCATCTGGTCGCATGACGGTTGTGTTTTCCCATGTCCCCATTTCTTTACTTCTGCTACTTTTCCCCATTTTTCTTCCCTCTCCCCAAACAAATTTGTCTGAATTCTACGGTGAGACCATCAGGAGATGAGCTTCTGAGCACTCACAGGCCACCATAGGTGCCTTGGCTCTGTTACCTAAGAGAACTCCGGGCCATCACTCACCCATCCAGTTTTCTGCCTGATGAACAGAGCACAGCATGCTGGCAGTACCTCATCGGCCTGTTTTCTTTCATTCACCTTGTGTTTTCATTCACACACCCATACTTTTCAGGGCTGCTTCATTCTGGCCAAGTGTTATTGCCAGAGAGGATTTATGTGGGCGGTTTAAACCTGACCCAGCGCCGGGCTGGCCTTTTCTGTAGATCCTGCCACCAAGGCCTGCGTCAGAAGGAAGAGCACTTAACCGAATGTTTCATTTTCCTCTGACATGTTTTTTCCTCATCCCTCCTCCTCCTTCACCCACCCACCTTCTTTCCCAGCCGTATTTTTTTTCCCTACCTTTGCTCATTCTTATCTTTGCCCTGGCAGATCTGAGCTCCTCAACCATCCCCTGTGAAGAGGAAGAGGAAGAGGAAGAGGAGAAAGAAGAGGAAGAAATGTACGATGACATTGACGGTTTTGACTCTGTCAAGTCTGGTTCCCAGTGCAGAGCCGTGACCTTGCCTGAGCCCACAGAGGAAGAAGAGGACATTTATGAAGTCCTACCAGGTGAAATACTTCATCTTCTAATTACCCTCCTCCCCTACTTTCAAAAAGTCTTGACCTGGCGGAAGGATGAAACAGTCCCCCCAAAGAATCCAGATCTAACCCTCATTCTCTGACGGGGACAGTGTAGGAAGCTCATGACTCCCAGTACAGTGGCTGTGCCTTGCTCTGGGAGCAAGATGAGGTCCACCAAGGTGTCTTTTGTCTGCGCCGTGTGAAGTCATTTGTTCCTATGCCACTAAGATTAAAGGCCGGAGAACACCCCCTCTGGTTTTCATTGGTTTACCGTGAGTTTGGGGGTGAGTTCTCATAACTCTCTAGTTCTCGCTTATTTTCTGTGGAGCCACGAGAATGACACAAAAAGTTGTCTCAGGGGTATGGAGGCCTTCAGAAGTCTGAATTATACAAATGCCAACAGACCATTTTAGTGATGCAGTAAAACTCTGATAGAAGCCGGGCGGTGGTGGCGCACGCCTTTAATCCCAGCACTCGGGAGGCAGAGCCAGGCGGATCTCTGTGAGTTCGAGGCCAGCCTGGTCTCCAAAGCGAGTTCCAGGAAAGGCGCAAAGCTACACAGAGAAACCCTGTCTCGAAAAACCAAAAAAAAAAAAAAAAAAAAAAAAACCAATTCTGATAGAACACAACTCTTTACTGTCCAAAACCAAATTATCCTCTAAGAGTAAACCCCCCTGCTTCCCCTCCGCCCGCTGCCATGGCAGGTCAACCCGGTGGAGCCCTCTCCTTCCCAAGGCAAGCTCACTAGCATCTCAGAAAACACACAGTCATCACTGTTTCCGGAGCCACTTCTGGTGGGGACCCAGCAGCTGGTAAACAGTGCAGAGCACAGTGGGGGTCAGACTGGAAAACCCAAGCCTGAGCCTTTTAATTGTGAGGTATTTAGACAATGGGAAAGCAGAATCTTCAAGTCCATTCAGAAAGCACTCCTATGGAAATTTGCCAGGAGTTTAGTGCTCTGCTAAGAAATTCAAATTAAGTCAAAATTTATAGCAATTTAAACCTGCATCCCAGATGAACCTGGGAACTAAGGTGAATCTAACACTCAGGCCCCTGAAGACAGGGCCCTGTTGCTAAAAGCATCATCAGTAAATAATTACATTTCAAGGCTCCCTCAGAAGAGGGTCCAACCCTCTTAAGAAGGCGTTCCCTATCTGTCTCTTGCCTGAAAGAGAAGCCACGTCATTGCGCCGTCCCCACCCCCACCCCCAGTCAAAGAGGCAAGGCTGTGTCCACACAAGCCCACCAAGGAGAGTCCATCCCTTCCCCTCGTTCCTCCAGCCTCTGCCAGTCTCTGCTTTCCCAGCCCTTTTTGTTGTGTTTTATTATGCAAATGATATCTTGGTTGAGGTCGAGCCATTTCTTGTGTCTGAAGTTAAAAAAAAAATGATAATTCCCTCAGCAAGTCATCGTCGTTAATGAAGTTTTACAAAAACAGATACAACCAAAGGAAAATAAAATTTCACAGGTGATAAATTTTTCCAATTTCCCTGGCAGAATTCGATAGGATTGTTAAATTAAGAGTGAAGGTGTCTGTTAGAAAGCAACGAGCAGTGATGGGTAATTTTATAGAGTGGAAAATTGAATCAAATTGCTACATTAAAACACAGCTCCTCTGAGAATCTTGCCTCTCACAGCCTGTGCCATCGCAACAGCAGGGTGCGGAGACGGATCTAATTCACCACGCTCCCGGAAAGGAGATGCACTCCCCAACTTGGCCAGAAACTTCCCAGTGAGCTCACAGGCAGTTCACTGCTGCCCAGGTTCTGGGAAAGATCCAGGCGAGGCTCCGCCTCAGGTCCCAACTGTGGGAGAGTGCTGGGGGAACATCGCCCCGAACCACTCTGCCTTCTGGGGTGCAGAGGAAAGGTGTGTGGTGCTCAGAGAAGCCAGGGAGGAGGAAGCTGATGCTCAGGGATGGAGTACAAAGGGAAGGGGCCTCAGAAAACAGGATGGGTTTGAGGCCATCCCCTTATTCTGGGGTCAGGGACTAGAAATGTTCCACCAGCTTCTCTGTGGTACAAGTTTACCCTTCCTCCTAAACTCCTACCCTCTGCTGGGGCGTGGGGAACACCTCCAAACCTCCCACCATTTATATAAGCAATGGACTCAATGGCTCAAACAGCCACTAACCCTGTGCCCACAACTGTCTGCAGAAAGTGAGGGAGCCACACTCTAGAAAAGTCAGGATCTCTTGCTGCAGGTTAGAGAGACAACAGCTACCTTGCCTGTGCTTCCAATAAGCAAAAGCCACTATCCACCTCAGTCCTTACAGACAGCATGGGATGGGGGTGGGGGTATACAGACATTTATTATTATTATTTATTATTTAATTACCGTGTGATTATTCCAGCCACGTGTCTCCATCACCCAAGCCTTCTAGCACTCCACTATTGTTGCTTCTGAAATTGCTGTTCGGAGTTTCGCATATGTCACACCACAGTCCTAAAGAGACTGTGAGGGGCCTAGCATCATCCCCCCACCCCACCTCCAGCCCACTCTATATTTGGGTCTGCACCGGCACCTGCTAGCTGGGAGACCTTGAGCAAGTTCCTTGCCTTCTCTGTAAAAAACGGGGAAAGCAATGCAGCATCCTAGAGGGATTTGGGGTGGGGGGGAGCCTGAAAAGAATGTGTACACTTAGCCCAGAACACTGGCATCCAGCAAGTACTCCACAAATGATGGTAGCATTAGCCTGGTGGTGTTTTATAGGAGTATTACGTCCTCAAAAAGTTAGGGGATGGACAGGTCCCGCCCTCACCAGCCAGACCCAAATGCACAGTCCAGTTAGGCATTTGCAACTATGTGTATGAAGCATATGTGAATCTGAAAATCCTGAACAGATGGAATGTGGAGAGCACCTTCTGCTCAGGCCCTTTTTTTTTTCCTACCAAGAGGCCAGGTGCTGGGTGGAGGGGTAACCAGGCAGCACTGGATTGTGCTAGCCCTGCAAACCACATCCGCAGTCAAATGGCTCTGATCACTAGCTAGCGTTTGTTTCATTATAACAGGTGAATACACTTTGTGAAGGGTTTTTAGTGTTGGCAGGTCTGCTGACCCTGTTCTTTGGGGAGGGCCCTATGCAAGTGCTCCCTGCGCCTACGAGGAAAGGCATGTAAGTGATGCTTCCCTTCCCAGGTGTAATTTAAATGGGCTTCTGGAAGAGTGAAAAGAATATACACCATATACCAAGTCAATAAAAAAAAAAGTTTCTCCTAACCAAAATAATGTCTGGGTCATCAAATTAAACGCCCAACATCACATTAATCATGAGATAATTAGCATTTGCTACATGGCTAGCACTCTTGTCCCCAGGAGAGAAAATCAAAGCACTCAAGGTTTTCAGCCAGACCAAAAAAAAAAAAAAAAGTTAGGCCTGGAAAATATGGTTTCAACATTGGTATCCACGGGGATTTCTGAACATTCCTGTTGAGCATATGGGAGCTCATGAGTTTTAAGATTTCATTTGTAGTAGATTGAACTGCAGGGAATGACCAAGAAGTATGAAAGCCAGATGTTAAAATAGGAGGCTTTGGGGCTGGAGAGATGGCTCAGCGGTTAAGAGCACCTGCTGCTCTTCCAGAGGACCTGGGTTCAGGTCCCAACATCCACCTTGAACAGCTCACAACTCCAGTTCCAGAGGATTTGATGCCCTCTTCTGGACTCCATAGGAACTTGCATATGCTTGATAGACATACATGCTTGCACACACTAGTAAATAAGTACTAAACTAAATCTTTTTTAAAAAACAGGTTTTCCTAAATCTTTTCACATCTTCCTTGAAGTTGTTCTGCAGACCAGCACAGGCCCAGATCCACAATTCAAGATTCCATATAAGGACGTCTTTTATCAGGTCCTGCATTGTCTGGGGCCTCAAGGCTAGAAGCCAGTAAGGCATCTGAGACCTAGGAGAGCTGTAACTGGGGCCTTGTAGTAGCTATAATGGCAGCAGGATCCAGCTGTGTTCTCTAGAGATTCCAAAAAAAACAAACAGAAAGAGATGAAGAGGCCTTTCTGGAAATGTCTGTGCACATTCTGAAGCTACCCACACTGCCCCAGAGGGTTGTTATAGACCCAGAAACCAGATTGCTTTATAATAAAGCATATAACTAGGGTTTTTTTAATTAGAGTCAAATGGAAACAACATTCTGTGGGATTATCTTTCCCCCTGTATAAGTTGTCCGGGCACACAGGAAAAGGGAACTGTGACAGAAATCTAAAGAAAGAAAAATACAAAACAAACCCAGGCCCAAAACATAAAATGTATGAAGAAGAATCAGTGCCATCCCCAGCCTCTCGGTCTCTTGTCTCCCTCATCCCTGCTTGCTCTGTCTATCTGTCTGTCTGTCTATCTATCTAACTATCTATGCTCTGAGCATCAGCCATGGGGTGCTGCTGGGCCAGCACCAGCTGGAACCATGCTGTCCCCCTGATCTCTGCTCAGCTGCGTCCCCAGATGTGACATCCTCTCAGACTCCACTGACGTTAAGCTCTGTCTCTCATCACTGGTGGTCTTCTCCCCAGTTCATCGGTACTCAGTTATTATTTGTAGAACCCAACCCTATGGGTTCCAAGCGTTGCTGTTAGCCCAAATCGAGTTTACTGTCTTACACATCAGCCATACCATGGAGAGAGGATGGAAGAAGTAAGAGGTAACTGTTGAGATTATGCACCACACAGCAGAGAACAAGCGTGTTCTTAGCCCCTCGCTCATACTGTTGTCCAGCGAGCTGCCTGCGAGAGCAGGCAGGGGTCTACAGCTCTGGGCATGCCAGGGAGCGGTTTCTTTCTATTTTTCTGGCTGTTCCCTTTGCACATCAAGCCTCCCTGCATTTCTCTTGCAGCTGTCACCACAGCACCTTGACATCTGGCTGCCCATTAATACATTTGCCTTTTTTTTTTTTTAAGCTGTTGTCACTTTCTGTTTGGGGGAAAATGCGTTTCCCTCTTTTTGATGTGATCACCCTCCCACCCCCCACCCCCGGTTCTTTCTGGTATCAGGTTAGCAGGTGTCGGGGTGGGGGCCAGAGCCACACTTCAGGAAGGAGTCAGGTGTCGGAGCAGCTAGCACCTCTCCGTCCCTCCTAGGTGGATTCAGTGTCCTGTTCCTCTCAGCCTCTCATTAGTGTCCCTGACACTGTGCCAAGAATGTTGATTGAAGTCGACTCTCCGGATACTGATGCTCATTTGTGATGCCCCATGGTTCCTTCACATGTTCACACAGTTAACAGAACCCTCTTCAACTGTTTTCCCAACTGAGATGAGATATTTGGGGATCAAGTAGAGCATTTAATGTAATAAGTGGGCAGTAATCTTCAGAGGTTAATTTGTTTAAAGCCTGTGTAAGATTGGGGTCCCATATGCCCTGTTAGGAGCAAGGACCATTATAATCTATTACTGTTTAAAGTTGAGCTAGCACATAAATTTTAATTCTCTCTTAAATGAAGATGTATTTCCATAGATGTAATGCTAAAATGCCTAATAATATTCTTATAAAGAAATCCAATGAGCTCTTTAACCTAAAATATATAAATATATTTTTCAAAATGGTCTTTTAAAATGAAAATCTCAGGCCAACGAGATGCCTCAGTCGGTAAAGAGGCCTGTCACCAAACCATATGATCCACATGGTGGGAGAAGAGAAGTAACTCTCAAGTGATCCTGTGACCTCCACACATACACCCTGATGCATGTGAGCATGTGTGTGTACCCACACTCACACACACACACAAAAAAAATAACAAATAATAATAAAGCCCCCCCTTGCACAGAGTGGCAAAAATAAGGAGTTTACCTCTCTAACCCAACCCTCTTTTTAAGCAAAACGCCTTTTTTAGAAATCCCAGTCACATTATCATTGTCTTGACTTTGGACCTGAGATACCAGTTTGCTTTCACAGAAGGGTCCGAGATTGATTGTATCAAACCCTCCGAAGCTCAGAAGGCACCAGGAGCTGTGCTCACCATAGCCAACTGTAGAAGGGGCTTCCTCCACTGTGCGACGGGACCCCATCCTCAGACCTCCAGAGACTCCTGGGACCCAGCCCCAGGCCCATCGGGTCACGAGGCTTCCTAACTGGAGGCCACTTTCCGCCACCAGGAACAAGGCAGAGAGAAGAGAAGTGGGACCTGAGCTTCCCGTTCACATCCATCCCCATGGGGCCTGGCAACAGCAGCAAATGACACACATGCCTAATGGCCAGCATTTTTCTCTCTTTCTAGGTGACTCCAAAGGTGCAGTGGAAATCATTGACTCTGTTCTGGGATCTGGGACGTGAACAAAACACGCTTCCATTTTTCCTTTTCCTTTTTTTTTTTTTTTCTTGTATCATGACTAGATTAAGTGCTATTGCCTGAAAGGATAAAGGAATCAAGTTTTAGTTTTCATTTTTATCATTGCAAATACATTTACATTCTCCTTTTTTACAAATGCAAAGAGCAGGCAGGCCACTTTCAATAATTTATTTTAAAATCAATGCTAATGAGGTTATGTCTCGTCAGTGGCCGAGTTTTACAATAAAGTCTGATTTATTTAGAAAAGATCTTTGGTGTAGCTTCCCATCTAATGGCGGTGGGAAGGAGGTGGAGTAGCAGGCACGGTGACCCTCCAACTTCGGATCCAATTTGTAATTCACAGCGGAGATCTGACCCAATTTACATTGATTAGAATTGGGAGGCAGAGACAGCTGCACACGGGCCCGCATCGGTAGGATAAACGCTCTCTGCAAAAGTGCTTAAGCACAGCACATTATTGGGCCTTGTGATTGAGTTGTTTGATACCAGGAAAAGAGCTGCGTGCTGTCCAAATTATTGGGCATCTCTACAAGGAGGACGCACCGACGCACCCTCTAATATTGTCGGTCCTGTAAAATTGGCCCCACAGCAAAAAGGAAAACCATCCTAGCAGAAGAAGGGAGGAAGGGGCAGTAGTGAGAAGTCTGGGGGGGGGGAATGATGTTTAGTCTGATTTGTTTCTGTGTGCCCTGTTTCCTACGTTTGACTTCATTCCTTCCTTACCTTACATCTTTGTACCTTGAGGGGGGGTTGGGAAGCCCTACAGAAGGGAGGGGGAATTCTCTGCTGCCGGACCTTACCCAGTAATAAGAATCCTTCAAAGGGCTGGGGAGAGAGCTCAGCAGTTAAGAGCACTGGTTGCTTTTCCAGAGGACCAGGGTTCGATTCCCAGAACCCATATGGCAGCTCACAAAAACCTGTAACTCCAGTCCTAGGGGATCCAGCATTCTCTTCCACAGGCACCAGGCACACATGTGGTACACATACATACATACATACATACATACATACATACATACATACAGGTGAAATATTCATATGCAAAAAATAATAAAATATTTTTTAGAAAATATTCCTTCAAAGTGCTCCTTTTCCACAGGACGTAAGGCAAGTGTGTGTGCACATGTGTGTATGTGTGTCTTTCTGTCTGACTGTGTGTGTGTGCTGTGTAAGACAAAAGGAGAAGAGGGGATAGTGAGAGAAAAGAATAGCGAGCCTATTTCTGCCCCATGTACATATATATATACATTATAACTCTATATTATAAAATAGGATTACTAAATGTTAGTCTAACACACATACTTTCTTAATAAAGGCCCAGTTCCTATTACATCAAGTAGTATGAAGCTTGAGATGAAACAGGTTAATGAGGGTAAGAAACTTGGGCCAATCACATTGTGACTTTGGCCATATAAACACTTGACTGGAGTTAGACACTAACATTGACTTAGAATCCATTGTGAATCCCCAGCAATTAATTAAAAGACCATTCCATCTGCCCTCAGGAGCCTATACTCTAATGAACAAGGCAGGCTAAATAAAACAGTAAAAAGATAACTACAGGCCTCAAGTACTAGGAACATAAAACTATGTACATGACCAGCCTCCGATACAGCTGAACAAAAATGGATATGTTAAGGACTAATTAATCACAGAAGGTTTAAAACTCACTCCTAATCTCTCTCTCTCTCTCTCTCTCTCTCTCTCTCTCTCTCTCTCTCTCTCTCTCTCTCCTTCCCTCTCTCTCAAACCCTAACTCTGGAGTGACTAAAGCCAAAGAAGATGGCTTCATGCAGATAATAGATACAAGCAAGAATTCCACCAAGAAAGAAGAAACAGGGGTTGAGGGAAAGAGTTGGGTCTCATGATAAGCCCCTTGGTGATTCAATGGGTTGGAAGCTCCATCAAGGCGGGAACTTTGGCACGCCTGTCTGTTGTGTGGCCCTGTTCCTAGGGCAGCCTCTAGAGTGTAGTGTGTACTTCAGAATGTTTGGAAATGGATAATGAATAGAAAGGGGAGGAGAGGATGGCCGATCCAAAGGTGAGAGATGACTGAGGAAGGCAAAGAAGAAAACGAGTTAATGAAAGTAAGTTCCTTTAAGGGAGAAAGTTCCCTAAGTAGGCATGATAACACATGCCTGTAATTCCAGCTCTTGAGAGGCTAAGTTAAGGGAGATCATGAGTTCAAAGTCACCCTGGGCTCCATAGCAAGACTCTGCTTTGAAACACAAGAAAGGGGACGAGGCCAGTGAGCTCAGAGAAAGGTGACCCCCTCAAAAGAAAGAGTGTGAAGACCAAACCCCACCCCCCACTGATGGCTAATGCTGATCATTTGTCCCCTCAGATGAAGACCTTGATTTAGAAGAGGATGCACGCGGCACTCATCGACGGCGAGGTACAAGACAGGATCGCACCACACGGGGTGGAACAACGGGGCTTCCGGCTTGAGAAAGCACTACCATTACTGGGCTCTCTAATGAATAGAGTTCTGGTACACGACCCCAAAAGCCCAAAATAGAGTGGCTGGGTAGAGAAGTGCCTTAACTTGAAAAGCAGACACCCAATCACTTTAATCGATGTCCTAGCGCAGCCAAGATTTGTCTTCAGAAGGTGGGAAGCCAGACCAGATATTTATTTTTTCCCTATCAGTATTTCTTAAATCAGTGCAGTGTAAATAGAATTGCCTCATCTCTAAGAGATCAGAGGATGGAGAATGGAAAGAATGGAAATGTCTCCTCCCTGAGAGGCTCGGAGATTGCGAGTTCAGAGGGGAATGGAAATGTGTCGGATCTGAAAAGTGAAGCTGGGGTGAAGCAGAGAACGACTGGGGGGTGCTGACTTCGCATGGGCTGGTTTGATGCCAGGCACATTCGGAAATGAATATGGAGCAGGTTTGTCGGATACAAAATTACATCTGATTCATCCCAGACTGTTAGCCATGCTTCAGGCTGTTAGGGAGCCCATCCCTCCCAAGGTCAGATGCCGGTGGAGGGGGAGGGGAGAGTCTCCTGAAGTGGGCCAAGGACTTACTCCATTATCAGTGAGGGAGTGCCCCACGTTGTTTGGGCCACCTCAAGGACCTTCATTCTACCAGCTGAGCCGGATTCAGGTCTGATTTGGATTCAAGCGGATCCTCCCCAGCCCCCAGGATCTATGGAAATGTTAAGCTCGGGAGTTCTTTCTCCAATTCCCTCCCGTCTCTCTTGGCTTCTCTGGCCCTTTTCTCATTCTTCTCTCTTGCCTCTCCTCCTTTCCTTTTACCTCTTCTTCTCATTCATAGTCATTTAGCAAAGTATCTTTTCCCCTTTCAATCTTTGTGGCAAATGAATGTGTGTGTGTGTGCATGCGTGTGTGCATGCATGTGTGCATGCGTGTGTGACTGTGTGTGTGTGTGAAGGTCAGAGGAAAACCTCCAGTGTCGATCTTGGGCCTGACCTTCCCCTTGGTTTGACACAGGCAGGATCTCCTTGCTGTTTTATCACTCCACTGGTCGCCTGGCCCGCTGGCCCAGGACCTGCTCCCCAGGATTCTTTAGTCTCTTGTCCCCCATCTTGCCGTGGAGGCACTGGGATTACAGATATGTGGAACCTTGCCTGGCTTTTGGATGGACGCTGGTGATTAAAACCTGCGTCTTCCTGCTTGCTGGACACGCGCTTTTCCCCACTGAGCCATCTTCCCCACCCCTGGAGGCGGTGACTCTTAAAGGTTTAGTGAAGGACTCAGGTTTGCAAAGATCCAGCTTCTCTCAGGGAAGAGGGAAGACGCTCCAATGGCATCAGAGGTCGGGCTACCGAAGCAGAAGGGAAAGTATGCGGGGTGCGGAAGCTTCAAACATGTTAGGGGGCTTCAAGCACATGGAATTAAGTCCTCTGAGATCTGATTTTTGAAGTTTTGTTGTGATCCTTAGCCCTTAACAGCTGAGCATCTCTCCAGCCCTGAAACCTAATTTCTATCATTTTCTACTTGCTATACAGAATTCCAACAGAAAATCTGTTCTGACCAAGCATGTCCCAACTAAGGCGTTCCTCAACCAACTTCCATCACCAGCATAGGAAGATACATCCTACGTGGATGCCTTGGGTGGACAGCTGGAAGCTTCTTATGGCCAACATTGTATCAAACTCCAGTCAGGAAGTGTCAGTCTCCTGGCAAAGTCTAGCATTCCCCTCCCAGAATCCTCCCTCCTCTCATTTTCTCCTTTTGAGTGACTTGTGCTGTCTCTCTCCCTGTCTCTCCCTGTCTCTCCCTGTCTCTCTCTGTCTCTGTGTCTCTGTCTCTCTCTCTCTCTCTCTCTCTCTCTCTCTCTCTCTCTCTCTCTCTCTCTCTCTCTCAGTTTCTATCTGGGAGGTAAGAGGAGAATTATTTTTTACCTATCCCAACAGGTATAATTCAAGTAGGAAGAAATCTTTTGTTCCCCATACTTTCTGCCTCGCAAATAGGTGTCGTTAACATAAGGCTAGCTCTTAAATATGTTTCTGCGGCTTGGACTTCCCACCAGTTATAATGATTGGTGACTTGGCGGTTAAAAACCAGGAGGACTTTTCGCTCTCTCTGCAGAAGCTGAGGCAGGGATTTTTATTATTTGTGTTTACTTATTTATTTATTGAATTTATATAGTGCCTTTTCTCCAAAGAAGCTGTAAGAACTGCAACACATCCGTAATGTCCTGATGTCTTCTCTTAGTTCTATAACAACAAAATACAGAGACCTGGGGGAAGGGCCAACAGCCTCAGTGAAGGCTGGGACGGAGGAGATTCCTCGGGAGGTCATAGATCAGCTATGTATGTTTGCTTCTTTAGTTTTTCTCAGGGGTCTGGGAGGGAAAGGCTTTAAGCAAACCAGCCTGTCCCGCTGCCCTTCCCCGTAAGGTGCTGTGGCATCTGGCATCTGAGCACTTCCGACTCTACCCCACAGACCCTGTCTCTGGCTGCTCCTCTCCCCTCTGACAGACCTGCTAACATTTTTAAAGCCCAACTCCAGATCTTATCCGAAGAGGGAGGGAGGAACAGAATTCAGTTTATCCTTATTGAGTGTTAATGACCCTGTAAGATGCAATTTCTTTTATTTTATTCTGTTACCTAGAAAATCTATCACGGCCTTGTAGTATTGATTGCTCAATCTATAAAGAGCTCGCTTTACAGCATGACTGTTAGTAACAGGGTTACTTTAATGAGTGACTCTTCAACACCTCAGATTTTCTCTAAATTCCAGCCTAGCACTCCCATAGCAGATCTAACACTAAAAGTCTTTAGTGGTGTGATCATATTTTCCTGCCTTGCTGTGAGAAGGTAACTTCTGGGTAGCCCAAAGCAAGACTCACTCTGGGCTGTTTGTATAAAATTTACCTTTGTTTTGGGTGTACATACTGTGGAGACACAAGTCACCCTTAGATACATCAAATCCTTGCCCAAAGAAGACCTTGGAATGGGCTCTCCTCTCTCTCTCTCTGTCTCTCTGTCGCTCTGTCTGTCTCCCTATCTCGCTCCCTGTCTCTTCTGTTTCTGTCTCTCTGTGTGTATGTCTCTCCCTCTCTAACTCTCTCTCTCTCTCTCTCTCTCTCTCTCTCTCTCTCTCTCTCTCTCTCTCTCTCAACAATTGTGGGCAAACCAGGCGTGGTCTTAATAAGCATCCAGTCATCTCAGAAGAGCAGAAAAGTGATTATTCATGAGCTTTCCATCCTGGAGCCCCTCTGAAGGCCCACGGTGGTGCCTGCAGACAGAGAACTCCCACACCAAAGAAAAGAGAGGATACACAGACTCCTGCAGCTCTTACCCTTTGGTTTTCCAAGACCAACAGTGAGCTGAGCATCACCCAGCTAAAAATTTTGATCCAATAAAAGGAACAGATGAGGTGAGATCAGGACCTTTGATTATTCCCCATACATAAATCATACTTGCAAAATTAAGGAGCATGGTAATTTCATTATTCAAAATGAAATGGGCTTGAACCATAAGCAAATGCTATTGAATATGAGCAAAAACACCACTCTCCCGGTGCCACAGTGAGTGCACCTGATGAATTTTTTTCATACTTCTGAAATCGTTAATAAAGTAGCAGTGAGTGTCTGCTTTGAATGGACTAAAGATGGCGGCCCTTCCTGGCTTGGCTTAGGCCGCAGCATTTCCAGACACTGTTCACAGAGTTTTAGTCCAACTCTCACTGGGCCCTACCCTGCTAGGTTTGTTTACAAGCTTTTGTCCCTGGTGCTCCTAATTTAAACAGCTGTGCCTGCTGCCAGGCCTCACTGACACCCTACATTCATTGAGAAAATGGAAACAACGCACTGAATGCCTTTTAGTCTCTTTTCCCCTGGTCTCAGCTTGAACTCTGAAGTCACCCAGTGTCCTCACAGCTAAGCTCTGGGAGGACAGTCAGCTTCTGCTGTTCCGGAAGACAAGGAAAGCCAGACAGGTGTCCTGGTCCTTTGCCTAGGTGCTCCCAGGAACACCAGCCTGGACTCCAGCAGAGGAGAAATGCCTGTCACCGGTCACAAAGAACCTGATGTGGGGTGACAAATAACTTGTGATAACCACCTGGAAGAGAGGAAAACAATTCTATGTCAGCTCTTTGTGATACGCTGTTCACTTGAAGCTTAGCCTCCAATACACAGGATTAGAAAGAACAAGACACTCCCCGCCGCCACCCCCCCCCCCCCCATTTTCTCTAGAAAAACTCCTTCTCAGCGCTGTTAGCAATTTAAATGCAGTGATCATCGCCATTAGCTTCCCTTTCGTTGTAAGTGTTGTTAATTGTTATAACTGTTTTAGTTATTAGTGTTACCATTATTGCTCTAGGTCCTCTGTCTGTTTTATGCTGAATATATTAGAGCTTTTGCTTTTGAATTACCAGGCTTTATTTAGTGCCGAGTTACGGTTTTTTGGTTTTTTTTTTTTTTTTTTTTTTGGAGAGACATTGAGAAATGCTGGCATTAAGCTTTATTCTTTTGTTTTTCATTCCAAATGGACAGACTGGAAAAAAAAATAATTAGATGGAATAATGTCCTCAAAATGAGAATGGGGATGTTTTGAATTAATTAACTGGTCAGAAGACTGCACCGTTTCTGACTTAGGCTGTTGTTGCCAGTGTGGTGGAAACCTAACTGGGCCAGAAGCCAGCCCAGTCCAGACAGGCAAGTCTTGCTGTCAGGCTCCTAACTCCTTTCACTGTCCTGGGAATCCAGTGTCTGCTCTCAGTCTCCTGAGAGGGTGAGCAAGCTTGGTTCAGGGCATCATGAACTGGCCCTGCGGAGCTGCAGACCCTCAGGCCTCTCCTGGGGCCAAGCTTCAGGCATGAAGTCTTGCTCAGCCTCACCTCCTCCCAACTTCAAGGTCTTTCTGTGACACTCAGCAGATCAGGTTTTTGTAGACAACTGAAGCTTCAAAGAAGCTGTCCCTGATCCTGAAGACTCTGCTAAGTTCCCTCTTAGCAGAGCATTCTCAACTTCCTCAGGGTCCTGAATCCTGGGATAGGAACTCTGGTTCACAGTGCCTCCCCCACTAGAGGGTAGCCTTGGGAGCAAGGACCATGTATGACCAGTGTGGAATTCCCAGTGTCTAGTGCAGTCCCTGGTATTCAGTTAAGTGCTGTGCAGAGGCCTGATGGATGCCAAGGAATGAATTTCATGAAGTTGCCTGTACAAAAATCCATAAATACAAATCATACAAGTTAAATAAGGATCTTGCAATATGGGGTCCAACCTTATCCAACTAAAGAATGACTCCCCCATTGATCTTCTTAATACCAACATACCTCTGTCTAGGTAGCAGGTTGAATATGTTCTCCAGTTTCAGCCCTGGCATTCTGATTAACTTTTCAGAGCTGTCTGTCATGGTCCTTAATCTCGGGCTAAGCTGTCTCTCGGGTTCCTGAACACCAAAGGACTTTCTGTATTTTTTGTGTCTTAGAAGGCTCTTGTCATTCCCTCTGATTGATTGAATCTGTCTCCCTGGTTCCCTGTGCTCCAGCTCCCTGTGTTTTGAGACAAGATCTCTCTCACTATATAGCCCAGGCTAGTCATGAACTCACCTTGTAGCCCAGACTGGCCTCAAACTCAAAGCAATCCTCCTGCCTCAGCCTTCTGATTTCTGGGATAATAGGTGTGAACCACTGTGCCTTCTTTTTTGCTGTGCTTTTCATTTAGGCCATTCCCGGGGCATTCTCTTCCACCATTATCAAATCTCAGTAGGAATCTCATATATCCCCAAAGGGGACCTTCAGCGCGCACACCCAAGCACACCGTGAGAAGCAGAAACTCCAAGTGACTATGCACTAGGCTGGAGAATGCCAAGAGAGCTGCCAGCCTTTCTACTGTTCACAAATAGCTAAACTTCGTTTTTTAAACCTGTTTTTAAAAAAGACTATTTTCTCTGCCATCTACAAATCCACAAAAAAAATATTGATGTCAAAATTGACTCCTCATTCCTAGACTTAGTCAAACTCTTGGGGTGATTTATGAACTCCCTTACGACTGAGAATGTGTAACATATCCTCTGGGGAAACTGCCATCGCTTTTCAAGGTTGATATTTCTCTATCATTTCATGCACCGATGTCCCCAAAAATATATGCTTTCTCTGTTCCACAGTTAACATTTTTCTCCCGATAGATTTTTCTCCCAACATACTCTTAAGTCGGTGGCCGAAGGTTTCCTGTGGTTATTCTGTTTGCTGCCCTCTGTTGTCTACTGCAGAGACAGACAATTCTCTGTGCAAAGAAAACACGGCCCCCCCCCCCCCCCCCCCCCCCCCCCCCCCCCCCCCCCCCCCCCCCGTCTCTGTGGTTGACATTTTTATTTCTGTTTGCAGTCTGCTCTTACCTAAAAGAGTCAGTCTCTCCTCTGCTTTTATGCCCTCTAAGATGCCTAAAAAGAGTCTTTTTCAAAGACATAGGGATTCGTTCCACTGGGCCTCTGTTATTTGAGTTATTCATAAGTTAGGGACAAATTGTGGGGGGGGGAGCAAGTAGAGCCAGGTCCTCTGTGTCCCACTGACTATTTGTTCCCCATCTGTTCCCATCAGGAGAGGCCTTAGAACCATCCGTGCCCGTGAGAGGGTCCAAACAAATTTCGAGTAGGTGGGAAGAGATGAGACAGAGTCTCCAAAAAATACCACACAATTTTTTTTTTCATTTTGCTTTTCAAGACAGAATCTCACAGTGTAACCCAGGCTGGCTTGGAATTCATGAATTAGCCTCCCAAGTGCTGGAATTACGGACATGTACCAGCTAAAAATCATATAGATTTTTAACTACCTCCCAGGACTCCTGAATCCCGTCAATCAAATTTCACCTTTGGCAGGTGCTAGGCTCACAGCTCTCGTATGAAACAGCCTAAGAAACACGGAGTATCCCTGGTCCAGTGGGCATTAGCTCTCCTGCCATTCAAATCCCCAGATGTTCTCCCACTTTGTGCGCTAGTGTTTAACCTTTCCGGGTAGAAGAGGATCAATACGAATTCTTCATTGTTAAGAATCGATGGCTGTCCTGTGGCATCATTGCCATCTAGCCTCGCTGAGAAGCCTAGTAAATCTCTCCAGTGCTTTCTAAAGCTTGGTTTGTTGTCTTCAGTGGCTTTCATTTTTAATGCAGATCACTTTGGTTTCTGTTCCCCGGGGGCTGGCAGATAAATCTTGGCAGACATGTTCAGGGTCTACAAATGAGATGCTGGAAAAGGGCCAGCCCACCCAGAATTTAGTTGTAATGGATGAGACACCCCCATGGCTCCACTTAAAGACTGGGCTGTTCGTTTCGGTATTTATTGGTGACTACCTCAGGAAGTACCTGGGTGGGAAGTGCCTGGGAGGAAGCTCCCGTGTGACAGAGGAGGCCAAAATGTGAGCCATGATGCAGAAGAACGCTGGCTGACTCAGCCTCTCTTGTAGATAGGCAGAAGGATGTGTTCCTTAAATGCATAAAATAAAAAGAGAGAGAGAGAGACACCCTCAGATATTTAGATTCCCTGGATCCAGAAAGTCTACTGGGAAACACCTTTGTCCCACTTGTTTGAGAACCAACTGAGAGATCATGTGCCTGATTTTCTTCTATTAATAACTACATCTATTACCATATTGTTGAGTAGAATTTCCTACTAGGGGTGATCTGTAAATATTTTATAGGAGTTAATGATCTCCTCCTCCCATAGTCCTTTGCGTATACTGAGTGTCCTCTGGAGCCCCCTGACTCTTAAGTTTCCTAGAGGCTCTATCAGAACCCTGGTTTCCATTTGCAGCAGAACTGACCCCTTTCATCTTTGCTTTTTCTTCTCTTTGATCAGTGGACTACGCCAATTATTACCAAGGCCTGTGGGATTGCCATGGTGACCAGCCAGATGAACTGTCCTTCCAACGAGGTGACCTCATCCGCATTCTGAGCAAGGTAAAAACAGGGAGCATAGGGCTTGAGTCCAAAGTCCATGTTTTCACTCCTGTTAGTATCATTACCATAGTCAGAATAATGGCATGCTGTACACCTCTCTCTGTATATTACATGGCTCTTCTTCCACACAGATCAAAAGTCCCTTTAATGTGTAATTCTTAGGAAAATTTTTCAATTAAAAAATTCAGGCCCCGGAATTATTTTTTCACCTTTAAAAATACAATAAAGCAAATTTAAATATATATAGAGAGAGAAATAGATACAATACTAAAATTATGCCAATCAAAATTTTAATGTTTTCCAAGGACTCATATGATACATAAAGGTTATACTATGTACATAATTTATTACTTTGTAATGCTATTGAAAACATTCTGGCTAGGTAAACTAGCTTCTTATTCATTTATCGATAAATGAGATGATAATATAATTACCTGTGGGAGGAGGAGTCAGAACCATTTAGTACAATTGGTTTGAGCCAGTGCTGATAAGACCAACCTACTGAATCCAATCCCACACAGCCCAGCTAACTTTATTCTCTTCCTCAGGCATAAGTTAACCCCTAGACACAGCTAGTACATACTATTGTTGGTCGTATAGCAACAGGGCTTTTTTTTTAAGGGATGGATTATTGCCTGTCTATCATAATGAGGAGAATCTTCCAGAGTAGTAGGCTACAGTTTGAGGGAACTATTCGTCATCACCCTTGTAAAAAGCAAACCAACAACAAAGACCACACGTATTATATAGCCAGACTAAGACAACATGTTCTGTTCCTAAGAGACTTCATCATAAAGGCCTCTCTCCATGTATCCCATCCATATCTACAAACACGGTTTTGAAGTAGGCATAATTTGCTCTTTAATTGCTGAGTATGTGGACTTCATGAAGGAAAAGAGAAAACCCACTGTGTTACTAACACCACGTTTGCTGTTTCTCTTCATTCTATGACTGGTACTTCTTACACCAAGGATCTGTTTGTGCTTGAAATAAGCTCCTTTAGAACAGGCCAAGGGGTGGACAAAATGGCTCAGTGGGTAAAGGCACTTGCTGCCAAGGCCAAAGACCTGAGTTCAATCCCAGAGATATGGTGGAAAGAGAGAACTGACTCCCGAAAGTTGTCCTTTGACCTCCACAGGTGCACTGAGGCATACACAATCAATCTATCAATCAATCAATCAATAAAAATTAATAAAAAATGAACAGACCAAGTCTGACCCTAGGTGTCTTCCAGTGATTCCAATAAATCAGGCCCCTTTAAACAAAGAACTAGCCAGGTGGTGGTAGTGCATACCTGTAATCCCAGGACTCAGGAGGCAGAGGCAGGTGGATCTCAGTGAGTTCGAGGCCAACCTGGTCTATAGAGCAAGTTCCAGGACAACCAGAGCTGTTACACAGAGAAACCCTGTCTGGAGGGGGAGGGAGGACTAAATTTAGACCCAGCCCTTTGCAGGAAGGTAAGAGCTTTGCAGGCCCTGCTGGGTGAGATCACAATGTTCTTGTGATTTCCCCTGCCGTTCTAACTCAGCACCACCCTACTACAATTTCGGTGCAGCTCCAATACACCAAGAATAAATTGGAAGCAAAGAAGGGAGTGGACATTGGCCTGATTGGTATTTCAAATGCCCGAAAGCAAGGTTTGCCGTGTAATAGAATTTGTGTACATTACCGTGCTGGCATTACGGGGTAATCGAGTTATCCACTCAGGTGTGACCAGGCCTCTGTTTGCCCAGAGCCTGCAGGTGAACAAATTAACTGTTTACATTGTCTGGAGGTGCCTGCAGCAGGAGGGGGGTGCAGAGCCAGCCTGGCGGCTGGCCTTCTCTCTCCGTCATGATTATTTTGTTTGTTTTACATGTCTTTTGCCTTTGTTAATGGCTTCTCACTGGGGGTCCCATTCCTCCAGTTAGATCTAAGGGGCTGTGCAGTGACCTGTCCCGCAATATAGAATGGTGTGCGGTTACCATGGCTGTGGTATTTCTGTGAGATGCCTAAGAACCTTAGACTGGTCTTTTAAAATCAACCTCTGTCCCCCCCCTCCCCTCCATGACTACATGCTAATGCGTGGAGTTTAATTCAGTGAAAATGCCTCGCTGGCTTAATTCCATCAGCTTCTTTCTCCACTGTTCCGGAAGGTTCTAAGTCCATTAGTATTTCTGCCCCCTAAACTGTACCAGGTGCCTCCCTTCCTCATGTTGCTAATCCCTGCAAATCAGAGGAGGAAATGAGAAGGTGGCCGTTCAGGAACGTTCCTTTACGAAGCTGCATTCCGGTTTAACGTCGGCTTGGGGGGCATCTGGGATTGGATTTGCCTTGATTCTATTACCTAACTCAATCAGAGCCCTTGGACAGGAAAGAACCTTAAAAGACCTCCCATCCTAGTTGCTTGTCTCTAAAAAGCACAAACAAACCAATTTCTACAGATAGGAGATTCCAATACCATCCAGAAGTTCGGCCAGTCCCTGCTCTCCGGAACTGTCTCTCATATTCATCCCACTTCAGCCCCAGCTGGCCTCCTTTGCTGGAACCAGCCTACCTCTCATAGCTGGAGCAAGAGAACAAAATAACCCAAATTAAGTTTAGTCCAAGAAAATGATGTCTGGAGAACTCTGTATTCCTTTACTCCAAAAGCTAGCAGCACCTTCGCTGGGCAAGAGAAGCCTCTGTCTAGAAACTGGCAGATGTCTGTTTCCCTGGGAAATGTATGGCACAGCTATACACCTCAGCTCACCTGGACTTGTTCCCTCACCTGGAAAATGAGGGAGTTGTTTCTTCTACCCTAGATATTCCCATTCCAAACACAATGGGCCTGATGTTGCAAAGCTGCATAAGAAATCCACACAGAACTCTCTCTTAGCTTTAATTACTTGCTACATTTAAACAGCAAACATTCCATCTACCAACAGTTTTGTCTTCACTCCCATAGGTGCAACTGGTTTATCCCTCTCTGAGGAAAAGTTATGGTGCTAAAGATCAAATCCAGGGCCTTCTGCATGCTAGGCCCTGGATATTCTACTACCAAGCTAAATCCCTTTATTAAAGAAATACTGGGCTGAGTGTGATGACATGCTCATTTAATCCCAGCACTCGGGAAGCAGAGACAGGCAAATCTCTGTGAGTTTGAGGCCAGCCTGTCTACATTTTGAGTTCCAGGGCAGCCAGGGCTACATAATAAAGAAACCCTGTCTCAGAAAATATAGGCGCTTGAGGGGAGGAAAGACTCTGGAAAGAGTGTCTGGAGGAAGGAGACACAGGGCCTGGAAGGGGTATGAGCAGACAGGAGCAGAAAAATATCTGCTTTTAGCTCTGGGCCCCTGTTGCTCCCTGCTGGGTTTGGGGGATTTGTTTGTTTTTTTATTTACTATGTATTGGTGTTTTGCCTGTATGTATGCCTGTGCCCTCAGAGACCAGAAGAGGGCTTTGGGTTCTCTGGAACTAGAGTTACAGATGGTTGTGGGTCCTAGGAATTAAACCTGAGTCCTCTAGAACAGTAGCCAGTGCTCTGAACCATTGACCCATCTCTCTGCCCCATAGATAGATAGAGAGATAGATGATGATGATGATGATGTGTGTGTGTGTGTGTGAGAGAGAGAGAGAGAGAATAGATAGATAGATAGATAGATAGATAGATAGATAGATAGATAGATAGATAGATAGGAACTGCACTCCATAGTTAACCAAATGCCTATCAGCTATCCTGTTCTCAGGCAGGTTATTTATGTGACCTTGGAAAAAAGTCACTTAAACTTTCAGACTTTAATGTCCTTACCTGTAAAAAGTAGGATAGTTTCTGTTCATAGGGTTGTGACCAGAGAATGTATGTGAAGAAGTATGTAGCCCTTAATTAACTACAACTCGTATGTTCTTCTCTGCCTTCCGCTAACACTACACTGAAACTACCCTCCGGTGTTGGGCATCTACTATGAGTTCAATGAATTTTTGGTAAGGTAAGAGCAAAATGAGGGCCAGCAATATGGTTCAGTGTGTAAAGGTGCCTGCCACCAAGCCTCCTACTTGAGTTTCATCCCCAGGACCCACATGGCAGAAAGAAAGAACCAACTCCGAACTCTGAGCTCCACATACACAAACACGAGCTGTGGCGTTCACTTACACACACACACATATAAATAAATGTAGCTCCTATCTTTTTTTTTTTTAAATGAAAAAAGTGGTTCATATACCAAGCATTCCTCAGAAGCTCCGTCAGTTGAGGCACAAAGTTCTCTCACTTGGGTAAGAACACCACCCAATGAAGAGGCCTACACGGAAATCCACCATGTCTTCTGTGGTTTAGAAATCTCATCACTGACGCCAGGAAGAGCCTCCCAACTTCTCTTCCAGAAGAGGCCAGAGCCACGCACCCCATCCCACAGCAGTAGCAAGGACCCAGTCAGCAGAAAGCCCGCCTGCTGACCGTGGCTCAGCACATCCGAACATCCTAGGTCGCATGCAGCCTCATACCCACTTAACTTACTGGCTTCCAGTTTGGGTCTTAAAATATATTAGAGGAAGATTTTAATAACGAAGCGGATGTGAACATCCAGCGGATGCTCCTGCACCCCTTTTGGGCCCGGATATTTCTGAACGGCTTTTTTTTCTAGTAACTCCCTTCCTCCCTGCCTCTCCACCCACCCACTCAGGAGCCGGGACACAGCTCAAGCCACAGCAGGGTGTTTAACGCTCTTCAGTGGCTCCAGATTGTGGCGCTGGGTGCAGGTCTTCTCAGACGTAACGGATCACTCCTGAGAGCCTGCCTCTCGTAAATTACTTCCCACGATGCCAGCGACCACCGCAGAATCCAAGTTTGAACAGAGCAGGGAAAAGGTGTTTGAGAGGCCTGTTCACTCAGCTGCATTTTAATTTCCTTTTCAATCTTGTCCCAATTAATTTCACAGAATTAATCTCACAGAGGCGAACTCGGCAGCATTGAGGCTGCGGTTTTAGTGAGGCGGTCGCTCTGCCTGAACATGAAATAGGAGCTAATATAAAAATCCATCTGC